AAGGTCTGCACCCACTCGATGCAGTTTGGCAGAAGTCTCCAATAAAAATGGAATTCCTGCAGAGCAGTTAAGTCTGGTGCTGTCCATTGAGGAAGTTGTATACCAGGAACTGGCCAGTGCCACAGTACTGTGTTGCAAAGAGCTTCCCATCAGGAGTGGGGTCAGAGAAAGCAATTTCCTCCTTGCTTAAGTATGAGCCATATATGAAGTTGCTCCTGTTTAAGAGAGGGGAAAAGGAGAAAATAAGATAATTACCCTCAAGGAATAATGAAAAATATTTCTGCTATTAGGCCACAAACCATTAATTAAGCAGCACAGACATTCAAAAGGAAGGAGTTCTGTTAGGAGGAGATAGCTCTATTCATGCAATTTATCTCCTCCTTCCAAAGAGCAAGGATGATCACTTGCTCTGGGAGGGTTTTTTAAAGGTCTGGTATTTTAAAAGGAATGTTTGCAAAGAACAATTGCATCAAGAGTTCAAATTTAGAATTTAAAATAAAAGGTTTGCATTAATTCCAAATATTTTTTAATAAAAAAGAAACTGCTGGTGCTGTGACTACAATCACTAGAATTGAAAACAAGCTACAAAACAAGTTGGGGTGCTTATGGAGGGGCCTCAAATGACCAATCTCAAGGCATAATTCCTAAATACACATTCAATAATTAACTATACAAAAATAAAGAATCAATTTGCTCAACTTGTTCATGAAGAGTATTTCTTTGTTGTATGTTTTAGTCTTATTTGAAGGGAGAGTGAGAATCAAGGGATACCATTCTAATTCTCTGTCTGGCTACGTGAGCAATTTTAGAAAACTGAATTCAGGCTTTAAGACCTCAATTGGTCTTAAAGGGGAGGTGATATTTTATCCTTAGAAACAGAAGAAACTCCCTTTAGATTTAAGTTCTTTAGTTTCTATAAAATAACCATAAATGTACCTGAAGAGCAAGCAGGAGCTTCACTCATATGGACATCTCCATTAAATACTGAGGAAAAGATAACAGGAACAAAATCCTTTTTAATTACTACCACCTTTATTCTATTCTCTTTCATGTGTTCAAAAAGATGATTTTGCAAGGTTTAATCTTAAGACTGTCTGACTGGGTTTCTGTGACTCCAAGGTACTGTCAAAGCCTGACTGAAATGAGGCAGCCAGTCTCAAAATGGACCTCAGTCTGTTCCCATGCCTTCAACATTCTGAAGTCAGGATTTAGCTGGTTACCAAAATTACGCCATTCCAAGTACCTTCTGCTATGGAAAACATTTAGGTTTAGGCAGCTGAGCAGATGTAACTGCTTACTGCCATCCCAAAGCAAGTCTCACTCCTTTCCTTTGCCTTCTGCAACTTCCTAGGCTCCCTCATCTATAATGCCAAACTTTTTAGTGAATACAGCAATGAGTTACTGGAAGGCCAGACAAGCACCAGAGCTCAGCAAAGGGCAGGTGGAGGGCGCAAGTAACACGAAAACTGAGGCCTCACTAGTTGTAACAAACCGTCAAAATTGATTCTAAAGATCCTTTAGGGCTGTAGCTGAGGAATTAACTCCTGCATCATTTTGGAAGAGAAATCTTTCATTTAAAGACTGTTTCTAGGAAGCTACAGAACACACTATTAAAAACCTGCCAAAAACATAGGCAAATAACGAAGGTCATATGCTTATCTGAATACAGATTTACTGTAAATAGATAAGCCAAAACATGACCTTGATTTGCTCCACCAGCCGGGCAAGATGAATTGTGCAGGGCAGAAAAACTTTGCTAAGCTCTCCAAATACCCAAGAGGGTGAGGACTGCTGGAGGCAGCAGTACCTGTTCTAGAAACTCCAGCAAGATGAGAGAAACACAAAACTGACAGCCCTAAAAACCTAAACAGTCCTAAGATTTGAGCAGTTCTTGCCATTACTCAGAACTGACATTTAAATTTCTTGGAAAGAAACCTAAGGTTTGGAGACTCAACATTTTTAACATTTATCTAGACAATAGCACAGATGTGTGAGTCCTTTTTATGTATGTAGCGTTTAGCATTCAGCTGGAACACACTCATCACTAGCTATTAAAGCTCCTTGGAAGTTGAAAATATCCATAAGGTTCAGTGAACCTGAGTATATATTAAAAAAACAAACCTAAGCAATAGCAGGAAGCCACCAGACTATACCCAATGGGTGCATTGGGTCTGTTACGTCCCACTTTGTACCTAGAAGGAATGGACAATCAGCCAATGGTTGGGGTCCCATTCCAGGGGTAATCTCACACTTTGACCAAAGACAGTCTTGTGTCCTTTTTACTCATAATTACTGTGGAGGAATTTCACCCTGAGAGTCTGCCAGGGTGACTCATTACAATTGCACTCAAAGATTTCTGTGAAAGACTAACTATTATAGAGTACGGACGTTAGTTACTGAACTCCACCTTATACTGGAACTGTCAGCTGTGCTCAAATCCATATCCCCAATATCACCAGCAGTCTGGAAATACAAGCCTGAAACACACAAACAATCAATGTCTTGGACTGAGTTCTGTCTAAGCCATGTGTAGCTGAAGAATGTTTTTGTCTTACCTAAGACATTCAATCATCCGAGAAGCGATCTTCTTCCGGCGCATCATGCTGAACACCCAGATCCGACTGATCCCACAGATAGCAGGTTCTGGAGAAGTTGAACAGCACCATGCTTTCTGTCTCTCAAATATCACTTTCTCATTTTCTGAACTGACTTCTGGAACCTTCTCTTCTATAACTCTGTAGCCCTGCAGATGATATGAAAAACACTTGTCACTTTATAAAAGCATCACTAATGACTGAAGAAAATAATTCATGTTTAATTTATTTCAGTTAAACATACTTGGCTGCTAAAATGCCTTACCAAAAAGACTGTATTTTTGTGTCTCATTTAATTTTTCATAACAGTTTCAAAAATCAAGCAGATGACAGAAGATTAAATAAACAAAAAACCCTCTGAAGTTTATTTCACTTAAAATAACAGCAACAAATACTCCAATTCTTATTGCCATCTGTATTAAAGTGTTTGCATTGATTTCTCTGGCTTTGGCTAAGATTGTTTTGCTTGTTGTCTGATACTCCCAAGGGACAGTAGAAAACACTACAGTTTGGAATGGACAGATTACGTGACATCAGTGATTACTTGTCCCGCCTTCCAGTGCAGTTTTGTCCTCTGCTTTTATTTCTTGTGGAGCTGTTTGACCCTGTGGTCATTCAACTCAATCATACAGAGCATCCACTCTTTCAACCATGCTGGATTTCTGCTGGGTAGGGAGTCGAACCTGCTTGTCAACAAGAAGAGCACAGAGCCAGAGCTGCAGAACAGCAGAGGAAGAAAAATTCCACCCTCAGCTGTAGCAAGTTTTCAGATGATGAGGTTTGTCTAAGCCAAGTATGACGCCATCCATGTGTCTCTGCTCAGAATCAACCACACAAAACTGCGTAACTATATTTCAGAATGGTCCAACCACCCAGTCTCTTCCTCTGTGGAACAGGCTTACACAGAATACTAATTTGCTGTGAAAAACAGTTACTAAGCACTGACACAGATTATCTTTCTCCAATTCAATCACTTACCCACTGGATATGTTCTGCAATTAAGCAGCCAATGACTTTTTTGTCATTAGAAATAAAAAGAAGAGTTTTAGTTCTAGAGTAGCACATGAGAGGAGTTTGCTGAAATCCCAAGTCATTGTCTACCATTTCTCGTATTTCTTCAACCTGCCAAAATAATTTTAAATGCTGTATAAGAAACACATCTAAATGCACATTTTTATAAATTTACATTACATTAAAATCATAGATTTGCAGAAAGGTATTAGGGTATCTAGAACACTGAAAGCTATTCCAAAAGTTAAGGATCAACCTAGCTGCAACACATTATCTGCATAAATGTTCCTTAAACAATAGTCGTCTCGAATAAGGAAGAGTAGAGACCCCTCAGTAAGCTTCCATTAAGTCCCAACTTTATTAGTCAAAGGTTAATAGAGAGAATGCAGATAATCGATCTGTGAGCTCTGATATTTTAGAAGTCAATCAGATCTACAAGGAAAATTAAAGCAATTTACAATTTTTGTTATTTTTGAAGTCTTGAAAGAACTAATTTATTAAGGATTTTAGCAGATGACAGCAGGCACAGTGCCAAGGCAGACAAAATGTAAGCATTTGTTTTAAAGGAATAACTGCTCTTTCCTTTAGCTTTCTACTCTTCCATTGGGTTTTCAAAGAGCAACTGAAACTAAAAGTTTTGTTTAGTATTAGCAAGTTTAGAAGAAATAGATAAACTTCAGCATGAATGTAAATGAAAGCTTATGCATGAGATAACTTTTTACTGAGTGCTTCCTGAACCTGAATCTGTACATTGGAACAGCCTCTATCATCCCTCATCTTCTGTAAGACAAAAAAAGGCACCCTCACCTATGGTTTATTGAAAGGCATTAGCTTCTTGAATGCATGTTGTAGTTACAGTAGTAATGTGAAAGGACAATTACTGATGCTGTGAGTATCACAGAATGCATCAGGCTGGCAGTTACCACATCTGGTCCAACCTCCCTGCTCAAGCAGGGCCATCCAGAGCACACGGCACAGGACATGTTCTTGAGTATCTCCAGTGAGGGAGGCTCCACACCCTCTCTGGCAACCTGCTCCAATGCACAGGCACCCGCACAGTAAAGACAACTGTGTTAAAAATGCTTTAAAAATAATTTTTAACAGGTATGAGTTACTCTCTGTTTTCTCACCTAAGGTTCAGCTACTAATTTAATAACATGCCCAATTATCTGAAACACCAAGTAAAACCATTCTTGAAATCAGGCGTCCATGGTTATGACAGCTGTAAGATTCTATCAACTTCAGCTACACAGAAATACAGAGAACTCTATCCCAAATTACTTAATTTGCTCCAGTCTTCCTTCTTTTTCTTCACCCATTATTTTAAAAAAAGAATGCACAACAAATGTCCTAAAATTAAGATAATCCCACCAGAAAAATAAAACTAAACAAATAAACTTATCTGTATCAGACGTGAAAATTTGGAGCTTCTTTTTCATTCACTACCTTAGACTAAAGAAACTGGCTACAACCACACCAGCACCAAGAGCTGTCCTGGGCTTCAAGCTGTCTTTAGCCTCCAGAAGTCCCTTCCAACCTCAACAACAACCTTCTGTGGCCCTGTGACAGGGATACTGTAAAAAGTTGCTATTAGCCACAGAAAATCCCCAGCTAAGCAGAGACAGTGTCAGGCTACAATGAAATGATGCTTTAACATGTATGAACACAAGTTAGCCAGCAGGACACTGAAGTACCTGACTGCTCTAAGTCCCCATTAGTGTGCTGTGCCCAGTTTTAGAGCTTCAAGAAAGACATGAGTCATGGCACAAATGGAGATAAGCTAAAAAAGAGCATGACAATGAATGGAGCTCTAAAAAGCATTATTTAGGAGTATAAACTAAAAAAAGAACAGCACATTCAGTCAATCTCCTTAAGGTAAAAAAAATTCAGTTTGTTCAGGCACAAAAAATCCGCTGCAAGGAGGAAAAGAAGGATGTTTTCTGTAGCTTTGGCAGTATGATTAGTACTAATGAGCTTAAATTGCAGTATGGAGATTCTGCTAAGACATTAAGGGAAAATTTCCTAATGTTATGGTTAGCAAAGCCCTATAATACAGTCCGAAGAGGTCAGACAAACCTCTAGTGGTAGAATTTTTACAAAGTTGTCAGATGCATTGTAACCAGAGCAAATCCTGCTTTGGACATGGCAATGGACTAGATAACTTTGAGGCGACTTCCCACCTAATTGTTTTTATCAGAAAGTCACCTAGAGAATGCTGCCACATTTGTACTGTGTTACAAAGTTAATAAATTTCAGTTCATTTAAATATAAATATAAAGGGAAGTTTATATTATATAAAATATCTGTCAGACATTCTGCAAGGATGCTTAAAAAAAAAACAAACCCAACACCAAACGTTAAGAAGTTAGTTGGCTGATGCTCTTCCCACCCCTGCCCAGGCCCAGCCTCTCTGTGAAGAGATCAGTAATGCTTAAGAGCGAGGTAGGTTTTTCTATCTGTCTGTGGAAAAGGGAACAGAACTACTGCAGTTTTGAGTCCAGTTTCAACTGTTCACAGGTAAATATCACAAACTTTTCTATGAACATTCTCATTTATTTGAAAGCATCAAACAAAGACAGACATGCAAGTCCAGTCCTTCTCACCATACCTTTTTAAGTGCATACTTTGGGTCATCAGGAAGAACCATTATTATCTTTCCATCGGGATATTCAGCCAAGATTCTCTCCTTTTTCCAACCCTAAATAAAACAAACACTTATCTAAACCATATACAAGATGTACTTTTACAGACAGAAATGGCAAATTACTGTTCTAGACACTGAATTTATGCAGATTTCACAGAATTTAGCAGTTGCTTTGCTAGAGAAGGAAACTTCAGCTAGCTTTTTACAATGAGCACAATAGATAAAATGTTATTTATGCAATAATTTATACAGCAACCTAACTATATCTAAAAACAATGTGAAAGTGTCTTACAATTTCCCAACTAGATTTTTCCCCCATAACTACAGTGCAAACTCAATTTTAGGACAGAAGTAGCAAATTCAGCTCACATAACTGATTTCCAAACCTACGTAAACTTATTTTTCAAAGTCCAGTGAACGAGAAAGCCCTAAGTTTTATTAGAAGATTTCTTTTTAACATAGTTACCTCCACAAATACACACTCAGTTTTAAAAGTCTGGCATGCGAAAGACCTCCAGGAGGTTCTAAGTGAACTGACTGGCATGCAGTTGCCCAAAATGTAAGGAATAGTTTTATTTTGTTACTGATCATAACTGTTAAAGCCACAAGAAGGATACTAGAAAAAAATTTATAACTACCTTCTAAGAATCTAATAGGGAAGGAGACTACGTTGTGTGTATCTGAAGTATAAACATACTCAAAAAAATAGAGGTAATTAACTCTTCTTCAGATCCACACTCGTGGTGAATAATGAGCAGTACCTGCATGGAAAAAAACAAAACAAAAAAGCCACTTAAATCTAGCAAGATGGGACTGGTAGATATTAGAACTCAAGTTGCTTTGATGGGACCTAAAAATACTGAATGCAGAAGTAACTTCAGCCACTAAAAAGGCTGACCTACAGTCTTACTTCAAAGCAACTTTAAATAAAAAAGTCTTTGAAGAAACAATACTGATGGAGTGATTCTCATTGAAATCTGTACCTTCCCATAAAATAATGTTTGACTGAAGACCAAGCAATGGAATTTGGCACTGTATGAATGCCATATATACTACCACAAAAAATGTTAAACTTCAGTGTTGTAATACTTGATCTGCACCTCATTTCATTTGTACTGATTTTACTCCCTTACCCCAAGGAAGGCATGAATAGAGTAATTTTAGAAAGGTATCTACTTCCTGCTAGCCCTGAAACTATTTAAGTATTAATTTAGCAACCAGCATGGCAATGGTTGCAACACAGTCATCATTTTAATCCTGTCTGAATTACTTCTCAGTAGTAATTGAACAAATTAAGATCCTGCTTGAATTTATATACATTATGGTCTGAACACAAAGGACAGTAAACAGCAGTGTCATCCTATTTAGGGGAGCAGGAAAGTGCAATTTGTGGGATTGTGACATGCTTTTTTGAGACTGTCATCAGGAAAGGCATCAAAAATCAGGTAACAATTACTACTTGCCAACCTCAAACCTTACCTCTCTCAAATTTTTATCTTTTTCTGCCTTCTGACTACCTGTTTGCTCTGCAAGAGCTTTTTACAGCATCCAGACTGCTGCAAGCCCAATGCATAAAATTCAATGCTAATTTTTAGGTTAAGGTATCCTGTTGGTGTTATAGCCAGGTATTTCCACAAAATAAAATCCAATAAAGATACAGAACACTTCTCAACATCACAGTATTTATGCCTTTAAGCAACAGTATATTAGCACAAGTCTAAAAATCTGTAAAAATGCAATAATTGATTCTCAAATGTATAGGACTCATTATTTTCATTAGTGTCCACCTGTTCATCTTCTTAAGTGATCTGTGTGATATGGAGACTGATGATATTCACAGAAGGGGTAGTTTCTAAATTGAAGTATTTTGGAATTCAGAAATGCATCTTTTAGATGCAGCTTTCCAAAAAGTTTCTGTAAAGCCTAAGCTCAGCCAGATTTTTTTTGAAGCTGTTTCAAAGCCGTACTGAGCCTTTAAAGTCACATGCAGCTCTAATAATGTTATAAACTATGATTTCATATATTTATCTACACCCTTATTGCTGAGTTTTGCTTCCTTTAAATCAGACAAATGGAAGCAATGCAAGACTGGTCACAACTCTCGTATTGTAACACTGAAGGGAAATGCTACAGCTGCAGCTGGGACTAATCCTATTACATATTCACAGTACACAAAATATGCTTTAGCGCCAGCATTCTCATGTGGCCTGAAAATTATTTCCCTAAACACACCTATTAATACTTTTTAACCAAGCCCCCCACTATTTTAACACTACTAAAATACTACAGTCTGCAAGGTATTTCAATCACTGAGAACTAAAGCAGGACTCTTTCAATAGGGAGATGACAACAACCTCAGCAGAGTAAGAAACAGAAGTCTTATGTCTGCAATATATAGTATTCTATTGCAGTGTCAGAAAAATTGCTTTCCCTTGTCTTTTAATTGACATTTCTTTAGGACACTAGGACTTATTTACTGTAAAATCGGATACCCAAGCATTAATATACATGGCCCGTGATGACCAAAGTTAAAAAGAAAGCTACTCTTCCCACAGGGAAACATGTTCTGCAAGGCATGGAGTAAAAGCACATGATTACAACACTCCTCCCTGATACTGCAAGTCTGTGCCCAACAAGAGATTACCTCCAGCCAGCAGCAGCAAGGCAGGCAAAGACTCTTCACCACAGCTCAGCAGACTGGTACTGTAAGGGGGTGTGTAAGCACTGTAGCAACACGTTCCTCCCCTCCATATTGGGACAATTTATCCTACAAGTATTTGTAACTGCTCGAGAAAATAAGACAACTCTGCAATGCACAGTTAGCTCCTTTTTCATCTACCTCTAACTTCCTCCCAATTCAGGCTGGTGAAAAAAAGGCTGCTTCTGCTGTGTTTAAGGGGCAATGGCAATAGGACCACAAAAGATATTACAAAAAAGGCAATGCACACAAGCAGCTGCAACCAGATCATGAAATAGTGTGGAAAATAGCAACCGCTACAGAGTGGTGAGCATTGTTTTCACTGGATATGATGTATGTATATAAAGAATGAGGTAGAACAGGGGTGTTAAGATGGCTCCAACATTAATAGCACAGTAACTAAAAGCTCAGTACTGTTTTTCATTAAATATGTTCTGCTTATGGAACATCTGATGTAGATTTGTCTTTAAAAGCGTAAGTCACCAGATGTGATAGCCTGCTTCCCATGAATTTCCTAAGTTTTTAGAAATTCTTACAAATGAGCAGAAAATGATACAGCAATGCTGGTGCCTTTCTGTATATGCCAGTTCTGTTTTTTTTCTGTACTTTTCTGTACTCACTATTTCTTAAATTAATACAAATACATGGAAAAAAAAAGTGTCTTTTTCTTATAAAGTTCTTTTCCTCAAAAATACTGAGGCACTGAGGAAAACATGGTTACCACTGTATAATTCTTCGTCTTCACTATGAAAAGCATTTATGAATTTTTTCCCTAGTAATGAAGACTAGTGTACAATTTTGTAAACTATTGTCCTTGACAATTTGCAGAGAAATGGGTCTGCTGCACTCTTCTTCCTGACAAATATATATACTCTGCCTCTCCTTCCTATGAATGGAATATAGAGAATGAGTTTTGGACTGCAGAATACATTAAGATCCTTGAATATAACTACCAAATACTATCCTCTATTAAAACTTCTCACAGAAGATACTAATGGTAAGAATTTCACTTGTAATATTATTTTTATGTCATACAGATGCATTACTTTTGGAATTAATGCAACTCAAGACAAGTATGAAATCCTTCTAAGATGACATGAAGTTCAGCACCATCTTCAATCCAAATATCCTATTAAGTTTAGATGCCAAGAAGTCAAATATTGCCTTTCTTTAAATGTGAGAATCATAAGAAGATCAGAGACTAACATGGGTGCAGCTACAGCAGAATAGCTGTAAACTTAACAAGATTACACAGCCCAAATAACAGTTTCCTCCATTTTCTAAAGCTTAAGAATAAAGATATTCTTAACCAAGAAGATGAGCTTGAAATACAAACACATTAACTGCAATCACATATGACACCTGAATCCACAGGCATTTACTAACTTAAGGTTTTGGCTTTGCAACTTCAAACACCATTAAAAATGCCTTGCTATTACAAAAATATTTTGCAGAAATACTAAGTTGATCCTACGTGGTATCACAGGGAGGATGCAGAATTGATACTGCGTGGTATCACAGGTAGAAGATTTTATAAAACGGAAGAATTTATCCATCCCACAGAGTTGCCCATCCTACTGGAGTTAACACCTGATATGTGCATCACCGCTCAGTGCGCACACAAGTCTGGAGACTTTTGGATGTCTGAAACCAGAGGAAAGTGAGACAGATTGCTCCATTTGTCTGCAGCTGGGGACATCTCTCATTCCTGTCCCAGTGTTAACCTTGGCCATCTTACCTTCTTGCTAATTTAATTTGCATGTTTCTATTAATAGAAAATGTCACCCTTAGGAAAACCTGTATCAATCATTGCCAATCTTCTGTTCCCAAATCTAGAAACTATCATCACATTTGCCAAAATTTCTCACTATACACAAGGCCTACAATTTCCTTAACATCTCTATCAGACACCCACAGCAAAGCCAAGTATCCAATAACAACTGCGTGTTAGCCTGTCCTTTTTTTGGGGACATCATGAGATTTCTAGAGACCTAAACAGAATTTTTTACTACCATGAGTAAGACGGACCTTTGAAATAACCCACCAAATAAAATTTTATTTTGTTGAAGATAGTAAGTAATTTATTATTTACATACAAACTACCTTCTGGCTACCCAAAACTTAAAAAATCCCACAGAACATCTCCGGGCAGGTGGGCAAGACACTAACAATAACGTCCATTTTCAGAGTCCACAGCAAGGAGCTCTAGCATGACAGTGCATATAGACCTACTTTATTTGAGTCTGTGAAGTGAATCATTCATAGAACTACTAAGCCCATAACATGAGATGTCTAAAAGGGAGAAAAAACTGAGAACAGTTTTCTCAAGTCAGACTGGGACCTCATCACGTATCATGGAGAATGTGAATGACACGGGAATGACAAATGAGATACATCTGACTGATATCACATACCAGATCCCTTAGAATGGCCTCTGAATCACAAGTCATGCCAAACATATTAACTATACATAAAGAGTGTCTGGAGAGCTAAAAAAGTAACACGTCAAGGTCACTGAGACCACAAGTTCCTGGACTGGGAAGTCTAAACAAGGAGTTAACAGGACTTTCCCTAGTACATTTTTTTTAACCCCATGATGCTACTGTCCAGTTAACACTGTCAGGGAAAGGGAGACAGTTAAAATTTCACTGCAATAACTAGATACAAATGTCCAGAAACCTATGAGCCATCCTCCCAACAATCCCCACTATAAACCTCCTAGCAAAATCAGGGTAATTAGCAATCATTCCAGTATTTCTGGATGACTAAGAATTAACAAGTAGTCACTTGGTGTACTAATTCACTGCCAAGAAGGCTTATCTTAAATTGAAATTATTTTCTAAGAGGAGGCGAGAATGTTTCTGTCACAATACTATCAACCAAGAACCACTGACTCCAGATCAAATGACTAGTGGTAAAAACTCATCTATTTAGAATAGCAAAAGTTACTCATCCATGCAGTAAAGTGTTAAGATTGTTAAGGGGGGGAAAAAAAATAAAAATCAGAGAGGAATATGAAGACCCATAAGAGTTCTTCTTTCATGTCTTACTCTACAGTTTCCATTGCAGAATAACTATCTAAATCATGGCTCCATGGCTCTACAGTCATCTACAATGTCACAAAACACAACTAAAGCCTCAAAAGATTACAGAGAGAACTTTTTACTCACTGAACTGACAATACAAATAATTTGCCTGAGTACACATTGTTGGAAGTTTTAAGAAGATGGCTAGCAACTGAGAAAACAATAGGGAAAGCTTTTTTCAAGTTAAAAGCATACCTAAGTCTGTATGAAATTATTTATGACTGGTTTAAGGCAGTCTGCTCATTCACTTTCTTAATTATGTTGCTACTGTAGACATACACACAAGTGTGAGATTTCAGCTCTTTCAACTTCCAGAACATTCAAAACTTCAGTACAGCTTCTTACCTACATGAACATGTACAGCTTTAAGTAGCTACTGAACTCATGTGCCAAAGAGCTTCTGTCCAAAAGAACTAAACATTATCTTCTGTGAATTATGTTTACATCTTTGGTAACATTCAAGATCTGAAAGTACTTGGGTGGGGAAAGGGAGGACAAAAAGGAATAAAATGGGAAAATGTGTTTATGATGCCATTATAACTGAGTTCCATCACACTTTCTTCCCAGTCCCACCCTACAATGTAGCTAACATGTATCAGAAGAGATCTTTCAAGATGTCCAGATTATTTGGCAAAAACTAACCAAGGACAGAATAAACACCAGAACTATTCACCAGAGACTTTCAAGCACTTTTAGGTATCAAGTTATATATTTATATTTGCAAACACTGGGATAAAAGTGTGCTTGAGATTTAAGAGTAGCCCAACAGCCATTTGGTGCCTACGTGAAACAAATAGGCGGCCTCAGTTCAGTTATCCTGGAGGTCTTATCTACTCGAGTGTAGAGTACTGAAGGTAACATGTATGATAAAAATACTTTGTGGATTCTAGTCTGGATTTCAGACATGTGAAAAGGTATTTCCTATGTCTTGTAATATCAGCTAGTGTGAAGTAGCTGATTTTACAATATATTTGAAATTATACAGAATTTTTCAAATCTGAGATTTATGAGATACTCAGAGACAGCATATATAATGAAATTTTCAAATAATATATATTTTAGAGATCACATTCTCATTATAAATTCAGTATAGGTCCAATACACTATGAAGCTGTATCAGTTGAATTCCTAGGCAGTCTCTCCTCAAATATTACATAATTAATGGAAAAGTAGTTTGTAAGATCACACACTTAGAAAAATAGGACAGTCAGCCCTTCATCTGACTATTAAGTCAACTGCTGCTGTGAACACCAATTGTAGAGAAACCTGTATTCAGTACTTTCAGAAGAGTGATAGTCCTTTGTTTTCCTATCACTACCCTCACACCTCCTCAAGATCAGGTAACTGTAGCAGAAATAATAATATGGCAATGAAACACCATTATTGTACTATTTTTATACATAACTTATAACCTGTCTACCATGGCTCTTAAAAACATTTATTTCCCAAAGTGGATGATTTATCCGCTACTGGATAAATGTGGATATTTAATGTGGATATTTAGCCTACTGTGATAACAATTTGTTGAAACAGCTTAATGTAATATGAATTGTAATAATACAAAGCAAATGAAAGATACCATTTATGTCTTCCAAAACAGAAGGTTTTCTTACCACATATTTAACAGCACTTATGAACTGGTTGTGGAATAACAGATGCTGGGTTTCATCCTCTGGATTTGACACAGTGTAAAGCATTCCACAAATATTACAGGAAATAGCACCAAATCTCTTCTGTCCTCCATCCTATAAAAAAAAAGAAAAACAACAAAACCAAACCAACAAATAACCCACAAAGCAGGAATTTATGAGTTCCTTGCACAGCAAATACAGTTAAACAGAACTTCCACTGAATCACATATTCCTCCTAATAATGTATCTTCTGGAAACTCAACACAAAGGCTAAAATGGGGTGAAACAGGAGAAACAACAAGCACAGAATTTAGAACTTCATCTTTCGAAAACACATATGCTCTTAAAAGGCACAGGCATCAATCACAAGGAAAACTCTACCTAAAAATACTTGCTCTACCCCCCCATTACTTTTGAACAAATTACTTTTATTCTATGACATACAAAGAACAAAGAATTCTTCCTTCATTTCTCCTATCTGCAGAAATCTTCCACCAAGAAAATCCCCATATCCAGCCCGTCACAACTTAGTTTTCCCTACACCTTTGCTGCAGCCTGTCTTTGGTTGTCAGCCGCTTTGAGGTATGCCACAGGTGAGCCATTTTCCTAGAAGTCTGTAAGTGTATCAAAAAAAATGAAGCTATGGAAATAACCATTATTGTCAGCAATACATCTGCAACAGCTGATCACTATCTTCTTTGGTGTTCAACGAGAATTGAGTATTTCAAGGCAATTTTTGAGACACTGTATAGCAACTACATTGCAAATGGAAAATCATACCATTCATGACTTCGAGGTTCTTCTGCTACTCTGTATGCAACCATTACCAAAGTGAGGGCACTACTCAGTACCTACTGCTTTTATGTTTATTCCTTAGAAGTTATTAATGAGGAAACACGCTCAGCTTTTGGAGTCAGTGCCTAATAAATAGTGAAGTATCAGGTGCTGGGGCTGCTTTTTGCAAAGAGCAAAAGAATACCAGTTAGAATAAAATCTCTAGCCAAAAAGGCATGTTTAAGTTACAGCTTAATGCTCAACTACTTTTTTTTTTCCTCTTTAACTACGTTTGGAAATTGAGCTTATGTAAGCAGCAATAAATGTCACTTTTAATTTATTTTAACATACATCACAAGCAATAGAGAAACAGGAACTTACTCTATACTCTAAACCAGTATAATAAGCAAAAAAGGATTTGAGGGTGTTTTTTAATATTAAATTGATCTGTGTGCACAATCTGCAAGAAAACAGATCACATGAACTTAATATTGTTTTCTAAAAGCTGAAAATAGCCATAGTAAAAAAAGCCTATTTTACAGAAGAAAACATTTTGCAACACAGAGGTGTTTCAGAAACATTTCCTATTCCTTCCATCTTCAAAGATACGTCTATGAGCTAAACAACAGTTAAATTCTCCACACAACAGCAATTTTTTTCAAAGAGACATTAGTGCCATCTAAGGTGTAGATATCAGTTTCTTCCCAAGAGACTAAAGGCACAACAGGCCAGACAAATTCAGAGTTGAATGTCTCCTTGGGAGCACAGGCCAAAAGAAAGAAGCAGAATCTGGGAAGTCATTGCTTTAACGATACATCAATGTACTGATCCCTACTGTGTGCAGAAGGAAAAACAGGAGTACACTATGTTTCTGAATGGAAAGGGAAAGATGAACCGAGGTTGGATTTGTAAAGTGAGAATAAGATGAGCTTTCTGAAAGTCCAAAAATCGAACCAAACACATTTTATTTCACTTGCAGATTTCCTTTAAAGCAGCAAAACAAAGTACCCATTCTAGCCACCAGAAGACACTGCATTTCAAGGGTTAATACACAAAAGATAAAAAAAGCAGTGCAGCCGACTATCTAAAGATGAACCAACTGAACCAGACTTAATAATCCTGTCTTGAAGATGGAGAACATACCCCCTTGTACCTAGAGCAGAATAAGTGAAAAGGAAATGTACTTCGATGCTTGGAATATACGTCAACAAAAACCCCAACTACTTAAATTATAAAATCAGCTACATAAAGCCCGTCTTAAGTATTGGTACTGCATTAAGTCACATGACAATTTCTGTTCAAATCATCAAGACTATTAAACTAACCTGTAAGCTTACTAACAAAAAACTCAAGCCAAAAAAATGCTACTTATGCAGGAAGTCACCAGAAAACACAAGGCAAGGATATCCTCAAAGTTGTCCAGCTCCCATCTTACCCTGTAAATACAAATGCTGTTTTGCAAGTTTCTGGGAACAGATTCGTTTCCTGGAATAGTACTGCCATATTGCATTTTACAATCAGCATTCCTTAGACGTTGCTGGTATCAATGTCTGAGTTTTGGGGGCAGATTTTTTGTTTGGATTTTGTTTAAGGATTTCATTGATATTACTACTCTACACACATTCAGGTGTATCAATGGGCTACCCATAGAGGTTAATACGAAAGCCCTGTTTCATGAATTATCAAAAAAAGCACATCGCAGAATCTAAAGCAATCTTTTGAACTCTGTAGCCCTGATAAACACGGACTATAGCCTTTAGGAAATGTTTTACACTCTTCTGAAAACAAGGAAGAAGATTTTTGTATAACAAACGTACTATTTCAAAGACACAGCACAGGATAAAATGCTTCAGGCAAAAATTAAATGCAAGAGCTTTAAAATCCAACATGGACTGCAACAACAAAAAAAGACATGCAAAATAAAGTCAGGAATTATGATGAATACATGTTTGTACTTCAACAAAACATCTACAGGATCTGACTATTTTTAAAGCGATGTCATTGCATAAGCAGGAGTGGAAAGGGCAGGCATCCAGAGGAAAAAAGTGCTCCCAAATCATAATACTGCATTAAAGCTTTCCAGACCTTCCTAATGGGAAGAGATCAACAACAACCAATCAAACAACAAAATGAAACAACTACAAAAAAAAACAACAAAACAAACTCAAACCAAAAATCCAAACAAAACCAGAAATAAAAAATACCCCCAAACCACAACAACCTAGGAGCACCTTCTGTACTATGTATGAGAGTAAATATAACTGGGATTTGAAGTGGAAATCTCAGCAAGCATCAGATACTGAAAAATAAAGTGCTGACTTGTCACAACTAGAAAAAGATTAAGTTTTAAGAGTCAAACTTCTTGAATGTTTTTCAGAGGAACTATATTCAGGAAAATGTGGTGTTTCAGGCAGGAAAAATGTTACTCTGTTTACATCTCAGTTTTCTAAACATAACAATAAAGAGACAAAAAATGCTTTTATTTCCTAAGCAAGTTTGCACACGTATATGGCAATTAAGTATCCCATCATCTCAGGCAATCCTGAAGTAGAGAATATCCACTGTTTCAAGGCTAACTGTAATTGAACATTGGGACAATATTGCCTTAACTTCATAAGAGTTTCTCAATTCTGTTAGACAGAAAGAAAAGTCTTACCAATATCTTCTTTGAGAAGGTGCATGTCTGCTGATCCTCCATATGTGCAATAAGGAACCCTGCAAGCAAAAAAGGCATTTGGTGCCTCTGTAGGAGATGAAAAGGGGCGCTTTTTTTTTTTTCCCTTCGTTTCTTTTCTCTCTCTTCAGTCACAGATTAGGTCACCTCCTTCTTGATTACCCAGCATTAGTTAGAGGAAAATTGCTTTTTCCCCTTTTTCTCTATCCCTTTCACAGAACAAAGAATAAATCCCAGCCAGAGAAATGTGCAGGCTGGAAAGGAAATATAAGAAGTACAGGAAGAAACAACATAAAGATTTTGGGGCACTCCCCAGAAAATTAAAAGGTCAAAGAATGCTATTTCAGTGAAAGATGCACTCAAGACTGAAACTGACGGATAGATCTTGTTGTTGATCAGGAGGATCAGAAGACATGTCCCAACTCAGAATAAAATCTAGTCTTCATTTTGAAGAAAAAAACCCCAACCAAACAAGAAAGAACAAAAAAACCCAACCCATCACCAATGCCCACCTTCCTGAAAAGCTATTTTAACAAAAAGATATAAATCAACTTGAAACTTTCTAAGTCTCAATGTATCTAATTTTACTTAACATATTTGAAAATTAAAATGGTGGGTCATTATCCATCATGAAATTATATCTTTTATTATAATAAATAACAGGTCATTGGCTAAAGCAATATGAAAAGCAACACAAAGAAAATCTGCACAATATTGACGATGGACAGGTAATCCATCCTGAACTCATGTGAAAGTATTAAGCAGGAATATTACAGAAACTGCTCTCATAAGCACAGGTTTTGGATTGGATAAGGTTAATTTCCTTCACAGCAGCTGCTATGGCGCTGTGTATTAGATCTGTGCCCAAAACAGGGCTGATAACACAGGGATGTTTTAGCCATTGCTGCATAGTGCTTACACAGCATTCAAGGCCTTTTCTGTTTCTCACACTGCTGTGCCAGTGAGGAGGATGGGGGTGCCAAGAAGCTGGGAGGTGACAGAGCCAGGACCAGAAGATCCCACCTGACCAGAGAGGTATCTCATGCCATATGGCATCCTGCTAAGCAGTAAGAGCTGGGAAAAGAGGGAGGAAGGGGAGGATGTTTAGAGTTAATGGCATTTGTCTTCCCTATTGTTACACATGATGAAGTCCTTTTTTCCCAGAGAAGGCTGAACATCTGCAAGCCGATGAACAACAGTGAATGAATTCCTTATTCTGCTTTGCTTGCACGCACAGCTTTTGGTTTACCTGAGCAGCTGTTCTCTCCCAGGCTTCTTGGGGACAATAAGGGAGCAGCTGCATGGTGCTTAGGTGCCTGCCAGGGTTAACCTACAGCACACTGTTCGTTAGTGGCCTTCGTGCCTGAATTCCTGTACCAGCTCCCAGCTAATGTAACAAAACATTCTCACCTCCCTTCAGGACAAAGGACACCAAGTACAACCCACCTGAATTTGCAAGACAAAGCTGGGTTGCTGCAGAGGAGAAGAAATGGGAAGAACTGATAATAAGAAAGAATACCATCCCTGTAAGAACAAAGCTATCCCAAAGGGCACCGTTTGTGTGGAAGGAAAAATAACTGCTCTCAACTACCAAACTCCTCCCTTATGCTTACGAAGTAGTTACTGTCTCATTTTCACTGGCCTTACAGGACAGGAGAGAGGCAGTACTTAACTAATGAGAACAATGAAAGATTGCCTAAAAGCCATTCTCTGCATCTTCAGAGAAATTGCCTAACCAGACTATACAAGTTTAAGGAAGAAAATAGCAACTTTAAATGATTGCTATCCAAGTTTCTTCAGAAATTCTTCTCATAAGAAATTACTCTTACACTTATTATGTCCACTAAGGGCTGTGTTTTCATCTTAAAGAAAAATATTTATTTCACATATAACCTATTTCAGTCAAGCAGGAAACTATGTTCAATTTTAATCAAAATATATGTAAGGAAAAATTCAAGCATGATACCCAAATGTGTAAACCGGATTAGCATGCACATCACATCCACACACAGCACCAACTCGAACCACAGAATCAAAAGCACCTTCCATCAAGCAAACCTGATCCACACACTTGCTGATACTTTTAACTTTGATCACCTACATTTGATCACACTTGCTGGCATCCAAGCATTAACTCAGAGCTCTAGAAAGCCAAAAAAGTCTCCATAACTCAAAACTATCCTTCTATCACTTTTGTGATTTGTTTTCACTGTTCATTCATTTTACATGCATTTTTTTTTACTTTCCTATATCTGAGGACTTATTTTCAAAATACTAGTCAATTCAAAGGAACAAACCTCAAAATGGAATAAGTACCCCTGTCCTTCATAGCTAATTATTTAGAAGATTTCTTTGTAGCATTAATGCTTTTATCAATTCTTATTTTTATGGTCGAAATTTTGTCCTAGGTCTGACAGGCAAGCAGAATTTTTACAAGACAGAAACAACTGACTTTCCCTGTCTTGGTTGTACAGCATCTCTCATTTGATGAAAACTGAGAACACATGATTTGTGCATTTGTCTTTCTTTCCATTTCAGAATTTAAAAGAAACAGATGATTTCATATTCAAGTTCTCTTATTCGCAAATCACATCCAAGCAATTGAAAAGTAAGTAACAATTTTAGTGCATTATTTTACAAAGCTTCCTATGGAGCTCCATGTAACCTGACAGCCTACCAACTGAACATGTAAATGAAGTGTTAAGAAGGGCAGTTCACGAATATTCAGAACAGACTATTCCACCAAATGTCAAGTCACAGATTGGAATGTAACGAATTTTTAGCCTCGATCTTAATTTCTTTGCCCTGAAAAAGAAAGACTACTCTCTCTTAAGTCTGAACCTAAGTCTTTGCATATCACTTCAATCATCACTGTTTTCTGGCACTGTTTGTTTCATGAAGTGTCTTGGAGCATTAGATGCTTTGCTGTCCTCAGCTGAAGTTCTACACTCTGAAGAGACTTGCTTTTTAAGACGTGTGACAGCAAGCAAATCCGAAGAGAAACAAGCCATCGTTTGACTTCGATGCACTTCTACAAAATGAAGATAATTTTATGTTTGAAAGCTGCCCAGGTAACAGTATGATGTGTACCACAAAAGAGAATAGTGCAACTGCAGCTACTAAGTATTTCTTCTACAATCAGAATTTATGTTATTTTACTTCAGTTAGTCAAATGCCTTAAAGCTTGTTAAAGATTATACTATTTAAGAGAAAAAGGAAATTAATCTAATTATAGTAATCATATGGGAGAAGGAAGCCAAGATACATCTTTAAGGATTTAGTATAAAAAACCCAAAGCATATTGTGAAAAACAAAGCCCAGTTTTACCAAAACACCTCTCTAAATACAGCTCAGGGACCAAAAACATTAGAATACACAGACAATACTGTAACATTCCAGACTCTAACCTTCAAATACCACAAAAAAATCTAAAAGTGTCAAACTTACATATAAAAGACTAGGAAAACTCAGTAGCAAACAAGCAGCAAAATAAAGATTTTGCATTATGTGACTAGTCAAATAAATAATTACTTTTTCAGCTTTGGTTGTAAAATGAAAGAAGGATTTTGTACATACATTACATTAAGATGGACTGGCTCGACACAGAAGAATCAGATCTCACACTGGAGAGCCCAAAATTGCATCTTTCAGGAATTTAGTCTTTTTTTTAAAAAGTGTAACAAAACACTAATTAAATGTCTCTTGCTAAGAATAAAAGAATGACTTCCCAACTTCACTTAAGGTAAAGAATAATGAAACTGCTTTTCTTAATACAACATACCAGAAACTTGAAATAAAAATTATTTCCAGCTATTAACTGTAATTTTTTAGATACTATAAATGCTAATTTAAGTGGTTTGACCTTGTGTAGTGAGACTGCTCTCCACACAGGAGAAATTTCAACCTCAGCAGTTTTTAAACCATATTACTAATTTCTCTGTTCTCACAGGATCATTATGGAACTATATAAACTCCTTTGAAAATAATTACTACTAATAATAGAAAAATAAGCCCACCCATCCACCTTTTAAAAACTCACCGTGGTTTTGCAAGTAAAACTATTAATTACAAAAGGTACCTTATTTTACTATATGCATTTAAGCTCAAATCTTTTGAGTATTTGCAGGAGAAAAGCCTAGTAATTTAGAAGTCAATTTAGCCACCTTTCACCTCTAGAAGTTGGCACAAACTATTCTAAATATAACTATGTCTCATCTCCACCGTAACCAAGGTCAAGAACAGTATTTTACAAAGCAGCTTAACTAGTATTTGGGTTCTTCTACATGTTTTGACAAAAGAGCAGTCTTACCCAAAGTAAAAGAGTAACAGACCAATACCCTACCTAAAATGTTGTCTTGGTAAACTGAAGTATAGGCATTATTAAAATGCCCTTTCCACATAATAAAAAGCCTACTCTGAACTCAATGAAATCAGAGTGAATTAGATTTGTATGAAGTGCTGAAATATACAAGACATTGTGAAGCTGCCACTTTCACATTTAGAAATTAAATATCCACTTGCATTTTCCAGAAATACCCATAGAAAACAACAAACTAAGATTCTCCCATTCTTCCTCATTTTCCCACTGTTCTTCATCAATGAACCTTTCTTTAAAATTTTGCTTCTTAAAAAAACTTTTATTGTTGTATACCTGAAGAAAAGATTACTCTCCTAATTCTAGCTGAATACAAGGATACTACCAGCACAATCAGTAACTTGCAAAACATCTATTTGTATAATAAACACTGCAGAGAGCTACACAAGCCCTCTTCAGTAGCCAAGCAGGAAGTATTTCTTCTTGTCAAAGATCCTAGCAACTTTTCGGCCAAGTTCTGTTACTGTATGAGTAAAAATTAAGTTAGCTTCACAGAAATGAAAAGGGATATTTGTATAGTCCCTTTAATATAGTTAAGATATTTAATCATTCATTTTAATTCTGTTGGTAAAACGGATTTCAAATAGGCAGTAACTGAAATACTTCTTAAATGCTAGACACAGTTCAGCTGTGCCTGGGCATTCACAGGCCTAGATTTGTATAACTTCAGACAACTGGAGGATATATTTATCACTTTAGTTCTTAGAAGCTCTGATTTTAAAATATTTCAGTATGGTGCAACAGAGTGTTCAGAACTCATTTGGTTCCATTTCAGTTAATATTTTCAAATTTATAATCCATGTATTACAGGAAAAAAATAACAACTTAGTAACACCTCCAATTTTCTATGCTAGAGATATAATTTCATAAGAAAACTCCTTCCTTCCTAATGGCCTGGGTTCCTCTCCATCTTTAGCCTTTCATTTCTCAAGGATTATCTGACGTGTGCCATTACTGAAAACACAAACAAAATGCAACCAAAAATTCCAACTGTCTCACGATCAAGTTGTGTGATTCTACAAGACAACAAAACAACTGTGTCACTCCCTTCTCATTGTGCATTTTCTTGTTACCTGTATTTTGTAGCTAATAGCCAAAAGGGTAAGAATAAATAACCCAACTGGTACTGCTGCTTAAATATTATGGTAAAAAGTAAGTGCATGCACTGGGAGATCTTTCAGTTGGTCTCAGAACAATGGACACTTTAATGACAAAGGAACAAATCTGTTGATTTTAATTCTGCACTATCTACCAAATGCACCTCCCTCTATAATTCTAAGATTTTAAGAATATGACAATTTACACGTAAGTAAAGGCACATTCACTCTCCCTATTTCCAAAGAATAACCATTCTATTTAAAAATTGCAGAAATTTATTTTAAACATTAAACAGTAAGGCTTGCTGACATCATTCTCCCATCAACACTGAATGGCAACTTAGTACAGGTTCTGCTTTTACAAGTCATTTACAATGGTGCTAAGCAGCGTGTATAAGTAATGATTTTTAGACAAGTTCGTTAAAACACAGCACTGCAAATGCAGAAAATTTCTTCAAGAAGCTATAAGCCTTACTAAAAGGGTATTACTTACTGTGATCAGCTGCTTATCACCATCTTTTCCTGCTTCTTTTAGCTTCTGAATATGTTCCTCAGATGATGGCAAGTTACTGCATTTTGATGCTAATGAAGGATTTGACAATGGAGCCCTTGAAATACAAATATATTTCATGTTAAAAATGGAACTGCTTATACACGTCATGCCAGATACTCAAAACATTGTGATTAGTAAAAACTTTACCAATATGCAAATCCAAATTAATTTCATAAAACCCAGTCCAGTATATTTTAACGTGCAATACAACTGGAAAAATAAGGAAATTAAAGAATTAATCAAAAAAACAGTTCGTAACTAGCCTAATTACAAGATTTTTTTACGTTTATGGAAAGAAAAAATGATCAAGTGGATGGGCTAGTCTCAACCATTAACACCAGCATTTATAAGAGGCACTTTCAGAGCATGACTGATGGTGCCTAATGCTATGCATTTCCAAAGTAAGATTAAGGTATCATACATCAGGCTGCTAAAGCACACCATGTAAATATATTCTCACAAATCTAAGTCAGATGTCAAATCTCTACAATTAAAATTTATTCTCTTCTAACATGTGGCAATGAAAGAAGGAAGACCCAAAGAATAAATGTAGCAGTATCACTGCAATCTTACTCAGTTTAAACCTCCCTTTGTCACAGCTGAAAGAAACACTGGAAAATACAATATAATGAACTATCATCAAAATCACTCTATGAACTTGCTCCTATATTTAGGGGAAAAAAAAAATGACATTCACTTCAGTTTTGGATAAAACTTGTGGAGATTGCCAAAGCAAAACACACACAAAAATACACATACTTCAACTAGGTATTAACATATTTTTCTGTTTCTGATCAAACTTAATTGTGGCACCTCCTGTAGCACAGGCAGCAGGTTAATCCAGTGAGCTTTTAAAAAAATTAACTCTCACCAGACATTTTTAGCATTTTTGTGCTAAATCAGGGGTATTTTTTTTATTCCCTTCATGTGCCCTAAAATTTGCCTTATGTAGCTACTTCGAGGTTTGCCTTTTCCTGCTGCAACCTTTTCCTACATAGCCCTAAAGAGAGACACACTGTAGATATGCACACAGATGACAGATATTCTATGTTACAGCAGGAGTATCACAGAAAGAATGACTTAATTCTTGGATATCACATAGAAAGCAGGGTAAGAAAGGTCTCAGAATTAAAATATATATCCAGATAATAGTCAAGCAATATGAGCTTGTTCAGGTAATAAATTTAAGTAGATACCATAAACCTGTTTGGCAGTTGAGAATAAAAATATAATAAATCAAAGTTACTGCAATGCTTATCAGTACATTTTAAACCACTCATTTAACTAGTTTGCATCTACCTTACCTATCTTCTGTGAAGTTCCATAGCAGTAGAGTTTTTCAACATGTACAAAAAGGTTGGTTAACGAGAATTTTTAATCTGGCCTCAGAGAGATGTACTGAAAATTACCTGAAACATTTATACTTGTCCCCATTATGAATATAGAAAACAGTAACAGCACACTGTCCACTGCTGCTGCTCAAGGTATTAGGGTACAAAGAAATTTTTGTCTTTAGCTTGTAACTGTCTAAAACCATAGCCTATGTCAGAACTGCTCAAAAAATATAACAGTCAACGTGATCAAAGCTAAAATGCAACTTGAACTGTAAGACAAACTTAGTACTAAGAACCCTTTCTTTCTAATATAGCTGCTAACACCTTCATTTCACAGCAATCACAAAATTCAAAATTAAATCCCCTCCTCCCCACCTAAAAAAAATTCACATGTACAAGACTCTCCTAGTACAAGGAGGAAAAAAAACTCCTCCAGATGTAAGTGAAATAATTCAGTACATGAAAATCATGCAGCAAATCCTTCCCCTACTCTCTGGTTCTCATCTGATTTGAGGAAGAGACCAGTATAAATGTTTTTCCAACTCTGTTAAATGATACTTTTTGAAATAAATGTGCAGTTACAAATATCTTAATTTTCTTAGCAAAGCAGAAACATCCCTTAACAATGGGATAAAATGAAAGTCTGTTTTTACAAAGGACAAGTCACTTACTTGAAACTGAAAACTGAGGCTGGGAGACAAATGGTTTATAATAAATTCTCTCGTAACTCTTTCTATGCAGTATTACTGTAGTTTCATAATTTATGAAATACTATACCTGTTCTCAGATGAAGAAGTCTGACTTGTAAGTGAAGTTTGCATCAACTGTGTGGGAGCCAAATCTACAATTAATCAAAGATTATAACTTCATTATAAAGTTTTTAGTTGCAAAGGAACTTTGAGTTACAGAAACAGTGATTTTCAAAAAATGTACTTATAACAATTTTGCAATCTGTTCATGGCCAATGAAAAAAATATTCAAGTTTGAGGCAGTATTCACATATTTCTCCAAGTATACTTTAAAAAAAAAAAAAGCCTTTTTCTCCAACATTTTGACAGCAGTTCTGCAGAACAGTTTGCCAGAAACTAAAGAAGGCCAGCAGTAAACTACATAGGAGTTTAAATATATTTATACTGACACACATATAAGTAGCTGTCTGTATTTTATTAGAATCATAAATGTACAGTATGCCCCTATCTGAGGCATGTTCTACAACACTTCAAGAAAAGAAACAATCAAAACCAGCAAAAGAAAGAAATTTTTTTTATTTTCAATTCTGTAATGGAAATTAAGAGAAGTTACCCTTCAAAAGTATCCTACAATGGTAGGAAAAGAACTCCCAACTATTTAGTAAAGCTAAATAATAAAACAGTGCACTTGAACTAAGGCTCAGATTAAAAAAATACATGAAAACCACAGAACAAACCCCTCACCACTAAAAACAGAAAAAAAAAATTAATGAAGAGACAAGTTAGTGATCCACTAACAGTATTTCCTAGACAAAATATTCACATCACATTCATCATAAGCTTTTGACATTCACATGCTGATAAATGAAGACTATGTAATAAAACCAGGAAAGTCATTACTCAATAATTTGCTTAAGATCAAGTAGAAAAATTTAGATGAAAGAAATGCAGATACTTATTCAAAGGAAAAAGAGCAAAAAATTAACCAAAACCAAGCCAAGAGGAGAAGCCAACTGAAACATGGAAGTTTTACTGCTTTATTACATGGAAAAGGAAAAAGTTTGGTTGGGTTTCCCCTCTTTCCCACTCCACAGCCCAGAGAAAAAAAATAAATTTCCGTGCTACTCAAGTGGCCCTGGGTGTGATACAAAGCAATACAAAACCCCCTGGTCAACAATTCCAACTCCCGAAGTTTAAGGTCTGTGCCAGCTGAAACATTCCTCTTAAAGGGAGACTTATCCTTCCCACAGAATCAAACCAAGTGGAGAAATCAATAGTAGACAGTTACCTTGAGGTTCACTTTCTCTGGGTTCTCTCTTAAATTGTTTTGGTGGTCTAGGAGCTGTAACGCACTTTACTGGAGAACTTTCTGGACTTGATTCCAAATGTAATCTAAAGTTCTAAGCAAAACAGAAAACATTAAATTAAAAAATGTCCAAATTATTCAGTGCCTTTAAACTATTAACAAAAGCACACACTGAACTAAGTATTAACATTCTGAACACAGCATCAGTTTTATGTTAATTTAAGCAGACAAAATAAAACTGATTAGCTAGTCCATATTGAAATTTGGGGTATTAATTTTGAAAAAATTCTTTTTCATTTTATATATAAGCTTGCAAAACATTTTCTATAGAACACAGTTATCCTTAAAATCCTAAATTCTAGTAGAAACTCATTCAGATAAGGAAATGAGAGGAAAACAAGTGTTCTCCTAAAACACCTTTGCAAAACAAAACAGCTACAGAAGCTGAAGCCATTAAGAAATGCCCATATGAATCCATACAACCTTTGGCCCCAGCACAAAATTTCACTGATCACCATTTAGTTGACAACGGAATCTAGGAGGGTGGAATCAATTAATTTTTCACCCATCTATGACAACACAGCAGTAAATCACTAATACATTTGAAAATTTTAAGTTACTGTAAAAGAAAGTAATTGTTAAAACAATTCTGAGCATAGGATTCTCAGAAAATAGAGCACATTTAGAACACCCTCCCACTATAGACCATAATTAAAATAACTTACCTCATCTAGTCTTGGCTCACATAAATGTTTTGTCAAGTTAGGCAACAGACCATTTTCTGCACCTTTCCTTGTGGGCTGTTTTGTTTCTAATGTCACTTCTTTAGCTTCAGCTCTTTCAGATGATGGATCTGATTTCTTCTGCACACAAGTTGTACTTTCATTCTCAAAAAGTCTTGCTGACAGCTTGCCTTGTGCCTTTGAAAACTCTGCTTCTGCTGCCATTTGACTTGCCTCTGAAACTTCAGGGAAATCTTTTAAAAAAGGAAGCTTAGGGACATTTGGAGAATTTGAGTTACTTTGCTTCACATTACTAGCTTTCAGCAATTTAATTTTGGTCCATTTAGAGTTTTTATTTGAGGAGTTATTTCTACCATTCAGAGTGCATTTGACAGGCATTGCTTTTTTGCTAGGGAAAAACCGTTTGCACTGAGTACTTTGACTGGGTTCTTTCTGAGTAAGCATTTCACTTTGCTGTAACTGTGTGTCGTCATGCTTTTCTTCTGCTTTGCTATCTTCTGCATTAGGGGAATCTTTTTTCACTTCTACTGTATCTGACTCAATTTCACCTGCAATTTCTTCACAAAGTTCAAGGATGCTCACCCTTTTCAATTTTGCATCGCTCTCTGGTTGATCAGCCACGTTTGTCTCACTTACAGATGGCTGTGAATTATTTTTTGGTTTTGTATTGGGTTTTATGTTCTGATGTGTTTGCTGCTTTTCCTTAGATGCTGTAGAATTTGGCTTAAGAGAATTGGTTTCCGTTTTCTTTGTGTTGCTAGAATTAAGAGATACAGGGCCCGTCTGGTCTTTCTTGACTTCCTCAAGATTCTCCTCAGGACCTGATGAGGACCCTTGAAGATTGTGTTGACAGCTACTGGAATTATCCTTTTTATTGTCTGCTTTACACTTTTTCTCTTTCAGAGAGCTGGTCACTTCTACACGTGAAGTATCTACATCTTTATCCTCATTTTTATAGTTTGGCTTTACCTTTGTGTTTTTCTGTTCTGTTTTCCCTCCAGCAGATTTCAGTGGTTTTGCTGCAACACCACGAGCCTGTTTTTTTGCCTGGCTACTGTGCTTAACTTCAGAAACTTTTTCTTCTTTGACTTCTCTGCTGCGCAGGGATCTTGCTGGAACATGCACGTGTGTTAACTGCTGCAGTCTCTGTGATCTCCTCATTACTGCTTCATTTGGCGCAATTAAGCATCTTGATTTAGGAATTTCTTGCACCGATTTTTTCTGGCATACCTCCTTATTTTTTGCAGATTTAGGCTGCTGCTGTTGGACTGTTTTGCCAGGTATTGTTTTATTATTTGAGTTGAGCGCTGATGATCTTGTAGTCATGCGTGTTCCTACTTCAGGTTCATTGCTATTATCACTGAAAGAGTCAAACAGTATTTTTTTCAGCATCCAAAAAGTAAAATCTGACACTTTTCATTCCTCCTCTGTCTCTTTTCTTTTTTAGAACATTAGATCTTATACTCTTAATATTTTTGGAAGAATTTGCTCTAGAATTATTCCAAAAAGGTGTTCACTTCCACCTAGTTACTCTGAAGTGTGGTATTTAATGCTTTTTATGCATGTCAAGACTCAGCTATGAACCCCAGATGAATGCTTTGTAACATCTCTAGCAGTTTTTAATCACTGACAGTTGTGACTTTCAAATGAAGTATACATATACATATATATTAAGATAATACTAGAATTATTTTTGTTTCAGAAACTTTTTTGAAAGAGGTCTTTCTAGATTGCTAGATAAGGCACTTACATGGTTCCAGAGAAAAATCATGTAGCAGACAGCATACATAACAATTTAAATCTGATCTCCCTTCTAGCACTATTTAACTATCTAGCTGCATCTTTAACTCAGATTCCCTCTGCTTAGACTGTTTCTGCATTAATGTACTCTATTAATATAATGTAGAATGATGTCTTTTTTTTTCACTGACCTGTTTGGTTTGGCAGAGGTTTTGAGTACAGTTTTCTCCTGCACTGCACACTGATTGGGCTTTGATTTATTTGAGCCATGTTTTGTATCTGACACCTCTTTTTCCTTCTTTGACAAAGACGGTTTGCTGTTCTTGTCCAGCTTTGGACGTTTAGCAGAAGGTTCTACTAACGTAGACTTCCTTTTCTGAGCTGCCATTTCTGAAAAAAAGCAAGCGACTCAGCTTTTAGACTCTTTGTCATACATCATAACTTTTCACTTTTGTATATTCACTTTTCCTTTTACAGCCAGATCATGCTGTGGTCAGAAAGCAAATCGTTAAAGCAATCTCAAATCAAATGACACTCATTTTACTTACAGGTTTTTACAAGAGGCAATCGATGTTTAGGCCAAGGTAACTTATCAAGGTGTGACAAGAGCATTCCTTATGCATATGCTTACAAACAGGATGTTTCATGCCACCTATGAAGAACAGAAAATGTACATGCAGTAAACACTTCATACTTCCTACTCAAGACTCTGAATTCCCACCCTCTTCCATCCCTTCAAACAACACTTAGCTTTAAAGTTTCATTGATAGGGACCTAAAAAAAGATAAACCAACAACCAACCAATGAACAAGAGGAAAATTTTATTTTTTATTTCCATATCCAACAATTTTTGGTACTTTGCTGTCTTAAGCACTACCCTTTTACCCTTTGAAAGGTGTCACGTAAAGTACAATTCAAAAGGAAGTTTCTCAGTCTTTCAGCATTTTCCAGAAAATAGTGCGCTGCTCTCTCTCAGAGCCAGCAAAAAACATGGGACTGCTGTCAATCCTGTGCTTCACATCAACAGGGAACAAATCCACTAGACTCAGTTACCAAGTTTTGTGGCTGCTACAACAGAACTTCAGACATCAGCAACCACCTGCAACTGTTCCTTCCAATATGACTGAAGCTACAAATCAGAGATGGAAAGCCCAGAAAGTAGTATTATTAGAGACATTTGCCTTGGGCAGTTAAAGACAATGTCTTCATGAGAAGTGAAATGATGTTAACAATGCAGAAGTTACTCTGCACAGGAGTCTGAAAACCAACAGAGATTCTTGATAAAAAAATCTTCATGGATTTGGCTGATCATCCCTTTCATACACATTTCTGACTTGTGAAACTTTTCAGTTCCCTTATTCAAAGACACTGCTATTGCATTATGACATAAGTAAAAATTGTTCAATAAAGTTTCACTAATAACTTTATAAAAGTAAATCTACTGGAAGATTCAGTGGTCAGAACTTCCACGTCACCTTTTCAATCAAGAACTATCTATTAATTTTTGTCACTGACTTACAGATTATATATAGATTTCTATAAAACTACACTGCTTTTAAACCTGAACTGATCTGATGCTAAATCTGACACATTTTTGAGGTCAAACAGGAACAAGTCACTGCTTGTGTAACACAGACCACTCACTTTCAGTTCATTACAACTAAAGTATGACTTCTAGTATTGACAAATTAATGTCTTTCCCTAAAAAGACATTTGAAAGACACTTATAAGCTCCTTTTAATAACTGATCATTATACAAAAGGTAAAAGTAAACAACTATACTTCTTCTCTTTAGACTTTATATTGCCCTTAACCTCATTTTTATTTACCCACTTATGAAAGCATTTCTAACCATATATAACGTGTAATTTTGTCAAAAAAATTGATTAAAAACTTAGATTCCAGACACCAGGGCTGTCTTTTGATCTTCTCCTCTAAAGAAGATACATAAATAACGACCCATATTTGAGGTATATTTTTTTTAATTTTACCTAGGGAAGAAATCTCCAACAGTATTTTTGGTGGTGTTACTTTCAAGTCTCTCCCTACGAAGCAGGTAACAGAATTTGTGTGCCTACACTCTAATAGCTCAGTAGCTCCATGACACCTCACAATCCTATGGGGTTCCACCAGTCAAAGAATACCCTTCAGAGATGCAGTATGGTCGCTCATCCTGAAAGTAACAGCCCTTGTTGCTCAATAGGTCTTCCGTTTCTTAGACACCGACCCTCAGAATCTGAGAACACCATGACACACATTGTATACATATACACCTGGACCTTCTTTGTTTTTTTTCCAGACGTGACATGGCACACTCGGGGAAGACTTGTCCAAAACAGAAAGTACGAAACTTCCCTCGCTGACACTCCTTCTCAGGCTACTAAAAAATACACTCCCCTCCCACAGAACTCTTCAACAGTATTTTCTTTCCTACTAATACTTTGTACAACAGAGCAAAGTCTTTCCCAGACATTCCAGAACTGGCAGTCTCTGCCCTGGAGAAGTCACCCTTTAGTAAAAGCCGGATTATGGAAAGCAGGGAAGACACGGAAGTGCAGGAACAAACTAGAACACGAGCAAAGGTTTAGTGCAAGAAGTACGGGGGGAAAAGAACCCGAAAACAAAACGGAGCAAACAAAAACCTCAAACCCAAAAACCCCAAACGAACAAGCGAACAAAACGGAGAAACGCGAGCCCCAGCGCTTCCAGTCCTTAGAGCAGGGGCTGAGGCTGGTAGCCCACCAGCTGGATAGGGCGCGGGGATCTCTAACCTGAGCGGTCCCGGCTGAGGGCCACAGCAGCTTCTGGCAGCCCCCACGGCACAACGGGAAAGGGAAAGGGAAAGGAAGGGAAGGCCTCCAAACGTGGCCCTGTGTCAGCCGCCCCAGCGCCCCGCGGTGACAGCCCTCCCGGAGCAGGGCCTGGCGGGGAGACCCCGCTCCCGGCCGGGAGCTCCCGCGGCCAGGGCCGCCGGGGGCAGGGCGGGGGTGCCGGGATGAGGCAGGGCGCCCGCCACGGCTCCCGCTCGCGACAGGGCACGGCCGGCCCGCTCCCCCCGCGACAGCGGCGGGCAGGCCCGGGGAGGAGCCGCCAGACTCTCGGCCCCGGGGGGCAGCGGGCACGGGGCAGCCAAGGTGACGGGACCCGGCGGGACATGGGTGGGGTGAGCGGAGTGCGGAGGGGGAAGAGCAACTTCCTCAGCCCCCCCCATCCTGGTCTGCCGGCGGCCACTTACCTCGCGAGGGTGTCAGCGACGTGCCGGCGCTGGCGGAGGCGGCGAGCCCGAGCCTCGAACCCGCCCACAGCCGGGCACCGCCGCGGCACCGCCCCGTCCCGCCCGCCCCGCCGCGCCGCGCCCCGCCCGCCGCCGGCCCTGCCTCCCCCGGCGGGGACGGGACATCTTCCGGCGGGAGTCGGAACGGGGAGGGCGGGAAGCGGCGTGGTGTGCGCATGCGCAGTCCTCTGAACCAGGGCGTCTGCCATGCGGGAATGTTAAGTAAGGAATCCAGAGACGGTATTAATTAAAATACGCATCTAAGGACTGGAGGGTGTTTCCAAGAGCATGTATTGACAGGACAAGGAGGAATGGCTTCAAACTGAGAGAGGGTAGGTTTAGGTTAGATATTAGGAAGAGCCTTTAATGCGAGGGAAGGAGGCGCTAGAGCAGGCTGCCCAGAGAAGCTGTGGATGCCTCATCCCTGGAAAGGTTCAAGGCCAGGATGGATGGAGCTCTGAGCAACCTGGTCTAGTAAGAGGTGTCCCTACCCACGGCAAGGGGGTTGGAAGCAGGCGATCTTTAAGCTCCTCTTCTTGCGGCGATGCGGGTGGCTCAGCCCGCTCGCACCGCCGGGCGCCCGGGTGGGTTGTCCGAGCCTCGTCCTTTGCCAAAAACAAGGGGCAAAAGCGGCGCCGAGTGCCGTGGGGCCAGTGGGGACCGAGTGACTGCGGAGGAGCTCTCGTTGTGTTAGTGGCTGACACCTGAGAGCCGTAGGGAAATGAAGAGTCGACTGAGAGAGGACCTCCTCAATGCGTGTAACTATCCAAAGGGAGGGTGTCAAGGGAATGGAGCCAGGCTCTCCTCGGTGGTTCTGAGCAGTAGGACAAGAGGCAACAGGCAGAAACTGATGCACACGAAGCTCCACTTCAACATGGGGAAGAACTTCACTGTGTGGGTGACTCTGGACTGGAACAGATCTGGGCACAATTCTGTGCCTTGTGCTCTAGGACAACCCTGCTTGGGCAGAAGGTTGGACCAGATGACCCTCTGTGGTCCTTTCCCACCTGACCCATTCTGTGTTTCTGTGATTCTGAGTCCCACCAAGTTCCTGGTGGTATTACAGCAGATGTGCTTGCACTAGCGTTTCCTTAGTGTTTGTGGGCCCCTTGTCACAATTAGGTTTGCAGACACCTTTGAAATAGGTTACTCAGGTGCTGCTCAGTTGTGCAGATGTGCAGACAGCTGCCAGCCCCCTTGCTACAGGTGTGTCATGGTGTCAGCATATGTCATTTAGGTGTAAAGCAGGACAGATGCTTGTCTGTGAGATTAAAGAGGGCTCTTGGGTGTGTCTTGGTCCTGTGCTGTGTCCACTTCTCTCTCCAGAGCAGTGAGTTCACTCAGTGAGATACCTTTTTGAGTCCATTTGTCAAATTTATTTTGCTTCCCTAAGTTCAGCAGTAACTCTGAAGGTACCAGCCAGCTGTTTTGTTCTGTGTATTCTGCACAGTGTTTTACAGCTCACTCTATAGCATAACCACCTATTTGTGATTTTTGCCATGGTCTGAGATATTTCAGTCCTTGCTACACTTGTAACGTGTTTATACCTCACCTAACCTTATGTCATGGCTTCTTTGCCTCAGGATATTTATCTGTCTGAGCCTGTTGTCTACATTGCCAAGTAAGAGAAGTTCTGAAGAAAATGCTGAAGATCTGACATCCACACCACTGACGTGGCAGTCCAGACCAGCTTTTGTCACTATGGATGCAGTGACAGCTAGAGTTTGAATATATTGTGTTCTGGGGATGTAGCTGTGGGTTTGGTTTCCTTCAAAAGAAATCCATTATGCATACTCCAAGACCCTGGATGGTAAGTTGGAGCCATCAGAGGATTCCCTTCAAAAGTGAGCTGCTGATTCTAACTAGAATACTGATGCAGAGGTACCTCATGAATATCTAGTGTTATCCACCCCAATTACTTTCCTAGGGGTAATCTGAAGTAGGTTCTACTTGAAATGCACATAAGTGTATCAAGATCTTGACATTCGGTATCTTTGCTCGGCATACTCACTCCTATCAGCATGCTCTACTTGCCCGTATAGACACAGCCTCAGTTTATTTGACTGTGAATTCACCTAGTGGTGTGTATACACCACTGGAGAACAGCGTGATGAACCTCAGCCAAAAGCCATGAAAGGTTTCAGAAGAAAAGGTAGTATGTGATGGGGTTTCTCACAGAGATTTCTGATTTCCTTTACAATTTCTGGTTATAGTTCACTGATATAAAGAAGACCACAGAAGTATTTTAATATTTGGTTCTGTAAATATTCATTTGTTAATGCTTGAAGTATTTAAAACGGGGTTATTTTTGTTTTTATAATAAGCTTTATAAGTCTGTTTTTTAATTTTCAAAATATTTTAGTGATTTCTATTGTTATCACAGTTATGAGATTAATTGTTGGAAATTGCTGTCAAGGTTCTAACTAGCATAAATTTGTTTGTATAAATACCAAATTTACCTGGACATACTCTGTCTTCTCTGGCTGTAAAATTTTCTGTCTCTTTGTTTACTGGAACAAGGAACTGCCTTCCTTGGTAAGTCCCCTCTCTGGACACACTTCATTGAAGCACAGTTTGTACTGGACAAATGGTAATTTTCAGAAGCTGTAGCTTTTTTTTAAAAGCTGGTAGGAGATGTTATTTATAACTCCCTGCAGCAGCTCCTCTTTAAGCATAATCTGCTGTTACTTTACAAAGAACACAGCAACATGTGGTCTCCTGCTCTCCTTCAGTAACCAACAGAATATTTTCCAGACAAAGGATATTTTAATCACTAGGCTGCATGTAAGTTTCCTGAAGTATGATAAAATAATTTCTTTATGTTATCATTATCTTTATAAATTTAAAATTATGTTTTCCCATGTGTCTTTCTTAGGAACATGAAGTAAGTAAACCTAGATTTTCTTATATCCTTCCATGAAATAGTAATTTGCTGTACGGCAGGAAGTAGTAAAGTAGCAGGCATTCTTATAAAGCATTAAATTCCAAAATTTGGAAAAACTTAGTTCATGGGATAGAAGAATATCAGCAATTTTCCGGTTTTCCACAGAAGGTGGCAGCATTCTGAAGCACTGATGTCAGTGTGAACTTGCTAGCAAATGTTGAAAGAGCACAAACTGCAGAAATCTACTGTCCTTGGAAGTTGTGGTGAATATAAACTGGAGTGCTTGGGCATGAATTGTTGTTGAACTGGGGAACCTGGGGAGGGAGGAGAAGCTGCATTCACATAGGAGGAGTATATGAGCAGGACAGATTTAACCCCAAAAGAATTCTTTGTTAATTTAGCCATGTTTATTTACCACTGCAGAAAGACTGCTGGAGTGCCTCTGGAGTGTCTGCAGCTAAGTGAAAAACTACTGGCTTCTGGGTTATGCCTTTTTTCACAGAATAACTCGGATGGTAATAGGTTATTCCACTAAGTGCAGAGAATGTTTTGTTGGGCTACAGCTTTGGGAGATGACTGTTACCAGAGAGAGAGGAAGCTTCTCCTATTACTTTCTCCACTTCCTTTGCCCAATTCCAGCCGTGTTCTCCAGCTCCTTACCATGTCAGCCTCCATCTAGCACCTGAGGGACCCTCATAGGTAAGCAAATTTCAACTCCTGAGCTAGCCATAAAAAAAACAAACAGTAGAAAAACTGAATCATACTCTACCAGAGTAAGAAAGGCTGAGGACCGTATGACTGGAATCAGGATAAGAAAAGACAGGAGAGGAAGCACAAGCCTTCCCCTTTTGGCATGAGGGAGCTGTTAACATTGACAGCAGCTTGTGAAAGCGCAGCCTTAGGGCGGGCTGCGTAGTTACAGGATTGAGCTCTTGATCGAAAACTCAATCCCAGCGGTCCTGCCAGCACGCAGGTTTTACAGCCCCCTTTGACATGCAAACACACTCCCAGCCTGCCCTGCTGTTTATCAGACATCTCATTTGAGCAAGGAAGTGGTGACAGACAACCAAAAGCCAGGAGCTGCTTAACCTTTCACCAGTAATTAACCTTGCAAGCACCGCTCGCGTCTCAGAATGCCTCAGACAGGTGAGGTAAGGCCACACGGGAAGCTCATTTAAACCAGTAGCTTTTTAATCACTACGCATACAGACCATTTGAGGAACTCCAGGAGCAGCTGAGACGGCGCAGGGCTTCGATTTCCCTCCCTTCAGCAGATTCACAAAGTCCCTCTATCCTAGGAAGAAGGGGGAAGCTGATTTTTGCATTTCCAGTAGAAGGAATGAGACAGGAAAATTAGATCCTTCAGAGGAAGAGATGTTTGCCAATGAAGAATCACTTCATTGTGAAGTCTGCTTTTCCTTTTCTTCTGCTGTAATGAAAATTAACAACAACCCAAAAAGTGGCTGAGATATTCCACAGCAAGTTGGCTGCAGCAGCTGGGGGACCCAGCATGTATTCTGGAGGTCAGTGGCAAGTCCCTAGGATGGGGATCTTGGGCTTTTTTATACCTTCCTCTTTCTTATTCATTGCCTTGAGGGTTCCAAGGCACCTTTTGACCAGTTAGTATGCTGGGATGAGAACCCCAGTAAGTGGCGCAGGATGAAGTATGCCCTTGTGTTACAGCAACTCGATGACTCAGGGAACAAATGTTTACTTTTTTTTCCTCAGGGTGATGATGCATTGAGCTGAAGCGACCTGGGGAGAAGCAGAGTGCAGGACTAAAAGTCTTCTTCCTGCCAGGTGTGAGTCATTGGCATGAGTACAGGAGTTGTAGGTGAAAGAGGCAGTTCCCCTCTGAAATTCCTGTGTAGATGGCATGTGGGACAACAGAGATTGGAGACTGCCCTGACTGCCTGGAGTTAAAGAGCTTTACCGGGCAATTAGCTGAAAATGCAGAGGGACACGTTCAAAGTGGGGGGAGGTAGAATTTGAATAGTTGGTTTTGTTTTGGTGTTTTTGTGGGGAGGCAGGGAAAAAAATTGGGCTGGGATTTGTCCAGTTTGCTTGCATGCTGAATGTGTGGAGTTTGGTTTGTTTGTTTTGTTGTTTGTTTTTTCCCCCAGGGGAATAGGGGAACAGGAATAAAAATGA